ATTTTAAAGCTTCTAGTGCCCAGAGTGAGTGGAACCAAGCATCTGCTTTTACAGAATGACCTTTTAGACAAGCTTGTTTTTTATTTTTTGTTCTACATTGGGAATTGGGCAGAAGAAAATGGACCTGAATATGAGCCACGATTGACTTTGGGAAGTAAAACTTGGAGTTAATTTTTCTTTCTTGCTACTTGCCTGTATTTTTTTTATTTTTCCATGGTGAGTACATATTATTTTTACACTCAAAAAAAGTATACTTGGAGTAAAAAAGTAATAGCCTCCCAAATCTCTTCAGGCTAAGAACGTTCCAGAAACCCAACAATCAAGTTAGTCAAATGCCTTCTGCCAGTTATGACAACTGGGTTTATGGGCTTTGGTTTTTAAACGTTGTAAACTTTCTTTTTTTAAAAAAGATTTATTTATTTATTTGAGGAGGGCACACGCACGCATGTGAGTGGGGGCGGGGGAGAGGGGCAGAAGAGAATCTCAAGCAGACTCCATGCCCAGTGCGGAGCCCAACTCAGCACTTGATCCCATGACCCTGAGATAATGAATTGAGCCAAAATCAAGAGTTGGATGCCTAACCGCCTGGGCCACCCAGGTGCCCCTATAGACTTCTGGTTTTTAAACTTTCAAATTTAACACTTTAAATTAACAAGCATGATTTATCTCTGTCATCAGTCAACTGTCATCACCCTTGTCATCAAAGAATGTTTAGTAAGCAGCTTCACTTTAAACAGGGATGGACCAGAAGCAGGTCGAACACTCACTACATAGCCCTCGGCCTATCCTCTACCAGAGAGGAACAGCCCAAGCGAGCTGACAGGAAGTTGGAGCAAGAAGACAGCATCAATCTTCACGGCAACATGGACAAGGCAGAATAGGAAGAAGAAATTCAGGTCATAGAAATAGATAGCTGGTAGAGAAGATTTACACACGCACACACACCCCACAACCAAGTTCTATAAGTCACCATCATTTGAATAAATTCACGTAATGTCATAAATTGGGCTTTTGTAAGTGTGTACACCAATTATTCAAATGGGATGAACAAATCATCCCGTGGTTTTGTAACAGGCACCTTGAAAGAATCCCCTCGCGTGACCCCTTTCTGCAAGAACAAGAGGATTTGCAGTGTCTAAAACACAAGACACCTGGGCAATCATTCAGAAACCTGCTCACACCTTCCTCACAGCTCTGGCCGATAGGATTCATGCCAGATGGAGCCCAACAGGGCTGACAAGAAAAAGAAGAGAGTCCATGGCACTCCTGCAAGCTGAAGGAAGAGACCCTGACAGGGCGGAGAGATACAAGGGAAGAGCAGGGAGACCAAGCCTGTGCTGGTGCATGGAGCTTGAGGAAATGAGCCTGTCCCCTCCCCGCCACGCCCCCCCCCCCACCGCCGCCCGCCGCCATGCCCAGAGCTGCAGGGGCAAGGGCTATTGGGAGAAGTGACTCGCCACCAACCAGAGCTACCATTCAGATTATCTGCCCACCCTTAAGACTTTCCTTTGGGTGCAGACATTTGAAACTTCTGCTTGGTTTCCTCCTCTTGCACATGGTGTCCTATGACAACAGGATCTCTCAAAACTTAATGTCGTGTTCGCCTCTGAAGGACCAGACTCCTTCTTTGAGGTGACTTCCAGAGCCCCGCCCCCCAAAGTGAATCGTGGGAATGCTACCCAGCTTCCATTTTAATTCAGAACTCAGAACCTCCCAAACATGTTCTCCACATCTGGAGACAAATCATGTACTGTTTCTGCATGAGGTAGTATCAGGCAAAAAGAAACACTTCCCTAGCATAGACAGCCCAACCGAAGCAAACAGTGCTCTCACAAATGCAAAGAACTTATGACTTATGGAATAGTTTCACACACATAATTCTATTCCATTCTTCAGGTCACCACTCTTCCTAACCCTTCAAGAGCCTCCAACTCCCAACCCTAGCTTAAAACACTTTAATGATTTTCCATTTCCCCTGGTGTAAAGACCAAAACCTTTATCATAGCATCTAATCTCTATGACTCACTTTAACTCACGACACCCTCCTCTGCACTCCAGCCACACAGACCTTCTATCAGCTCCTCCAATGGGCCACAGGACTTTTGCACATGCTTCTCCGTCTATGTTAAATGTTCCTTTCCACCACCACTACTTGCTCCCCGCCCCCCCATTTTACCAGTTAATCCTCACCCTTCCTTTGGTTTTTAGGTCCATTGTTAATTCCTTAGGGAAGCTTTTCCCAATCTCCCTGACCAGGTCAAGTCCCTTTAGGATAGCTGTCCATACATTCCTTTCATAGCACTTAACCCAATTATAATTATATAATTATACAATTATAGCCCAATTATAATTATTTGTATGACTATTTGGATACTTTCTGTCTCTATCAGGAGGTTATAAATTCTATAAGTTCTATAAGATTATAAATTCTATTTTTGCTCTTCAATCTATAGTGCTAGCTCAGTTCATGACATATATACTCTACAATATTGAATGACTAAATGAATGAATGAATGAATGAATGAGTAATGACCTGTGGAGAGAAGATATTATATCCACATTAGAGAAATATGGAAATTGAGTCTCCAAGAGCTTAAGGGATTTGCTCAAGGAGCACAGGCATGGGGATTGGATTCTAAGGTATTTGATCCCTGATTTCACAGTCAGGAAATGCACCATTCCAAGGACTGGGGAGTCCTGCATGGCACAGAATAGGTATCCAGTGCAGACCTGCTGAATGAAGAAATGAAAACAATGAATGAAATGAGGAAAGAATCAATTGTGGACTTCAATATGATTTTCAGTGCAAAGAGAACAGTCTTGGTCAGCCATGACATTGGACAGGTCATATCACCTTTCTAGGCCAGAGCTGAGCTTTGAACTAGATGATACCCATGCTCTGCAAATCTGAGATTCAGACTCCTCCTACCTTGGGATTCTAACAGCAGACACCTACATATGGTGGCTGAGTGACTTATCTGCCCAGAGTCGACTTTATGCTTTGGATCATCTTTAATGCATTCAAAGAGCAATTATCACTATGCAACAAGAGGCAATTGCAGGAGCAATTACATCAAGGATAACATATGGAAATTACAAAAACAATAGAAAGTTATTGCAGTGTGTTAAGCATAATAGCAGATGGAGGAGAGTTGTTATAACCTTGACAGTTGACCCTGGGACTTCTAGATTTGTTATATAGTCATATGCAAGGAAGCAAACAACATCTGGCAAAAGGATAACATGTTTTAGTTTTCCGTTGGCATTGTTAAATGATTCAGAAACTAATAAAAGGGAACCATGAATGGTCTCCGTCATCCAGCCAAGAGTTAAGCAGAAACGATAAGGACAAAGGGTCCTTCTTCTCCCAACAAATGTGGAATTCTCTAACTAGTCATAGATAATATGCTTGCATCCTGTCCTGAACCAAATGTCCCACCAAAGTGACTCACAATCTGGTACTAGCTCACCTTTTCAGGTTCATCCCTTGCCCCTCTCCGACAGTCACCCATACTCTGGCCTCAGAGCTCACTGTGTTTTCAGGACTCCGGGAGAAATACCCTGGCTCCTTCAGATCCAGTTCCAACATCATTTTCTCTATGAAGCCTTCCACAATGCTCCCAAGCATCCCAAGCACCACCTCCTCCAAATCCCCACAGCATTTATTTATGCCCAGGTGGTAGCATTGATGGCCATCTGATTTCTGTTATGATCACTTGTCTGTCTGTCTCTGTCCCCTGCCCCAATCACCCCACTAGTTGGTAAGACCCTTCAAGATAGGGACCATGCCTTATTCATACCCCCAGCACAGAGCTGCATGCCTAACATTTAGAAAGTCTATTGAGTGAAACACCGGGCGGGGCAACTAATCAGTAGATGAATTAATCAGTAATGGATGAATGACTCCTATTATGTCAACCCATATAATAAAGTCTATTTTATCAGGGAGTTTCTTAGTGACCTCACTTGAAACCCAAAGAAGTAACTCCAATGTTAAGAAGGTCAAGCACTTTGATAAGCCAATAATGGCATTCTTTGCATGTATCACCTCATTTAATCTTGAAACAATCCTATGAGGTATTATTATTCCCAGTTTCAAATGGAATAGTTGAGGTGTAAGTAGGTAAGTTACTTTCCCTAGGCCTCAGGGTCAGTAAGTGGCAGGACAGGATTTGAACTCAAGTCCTAAGACCTACACCTAACACCGGAACACCTCACCACCAGGCTGTCTCCCATCTAGTTATAGGGCCAGTCCTGGTCATTGTTTTTCATGTTTTCATTCACCTCTTATTACTTTTAATTAATGTGAATTTGACTTCCATAGAAACTTTCACGTAAGGATTTCATAATTCTACCTGAGGCCCCTACTGCCTTTACTAACACTTATTATCAACATTTTGAGGACTCACCTTATCCCTCAATTTTAAAGTAAGAAAATTGAGAGAGCAGTTAAGTAACTTGGTCAAAGTCACGTAACTCACCACGATAAGAACCCAGAGTGACCCCAACCCACTTAACTGCAGTGCCCATGCGCCATCTTGAGCTTCCACCGGGCGTCCTACATCGCTTGGAAGTTCGCACATCAAGGCATCTGGCACCGTTACCCATCTAGTCAATTCCTGAATCAGTCCAATTGCAGGGACAAAATTCACACATGAATGCAAATGCCTTCTTTTTGAAGAAAACAAAATCCACATTTTCTTACATATAAAACGGAACTCAAATCCATACCAAGCTGTAGTTTTGCCTCGTCTGCTTCCTTGAGGTGGCCTCGATTCTGCTTCCATCACTAGTTTTCCAGGTGAGGAACTGGGTTCCAGGAGGCTGAGAACCTTGTCCCAGGGTCCATGGCTGGGTCCCAAGTCTGGACTCTTAACTACTCAACAGATTCTCAGTCCCTGCTGCCACTATTCTAGTCTCTTCTCCCATCACCCCCTCTTCAGGATTCAGGAAAGTTATCCAGAAACAGAATGAAAAACAAAACAAAGTAAACAGAGTACCTGAGAAGGCCCAGTTCAGCTCCGTTCAAATCTTCCATTTTTAGGACGACCATTTCTTTGTCGGTATTTGAAGAATACCTAGTCAGCAAAACAAAGAAACTCAGTCACTTCTATGTCAGAGCCTGGCCCTCCTGTGTGACCAGCAGTAGAAGCTGACCCAAAAACCAAAACCAAAACACCTTTCCGTGAGCGAGGTGCCCTGACATGCTATATCGTCTTACAAACCACATCCGGGACCTCATTCCTCAGCTAACGAAATGGCCTGCAAATGCTGCCAGAGTCAGAGGCACCAGGCCAGCCAACTGGAGATGAAATATACATCTCTATGTCATACACACGATATTCGTATTTCCTACAAAAAAAGATTTGCCTTTGAAATTTCTACTTGTATTAAATTTTAATGGAATCTCTTAAAAATAGCAGGGAATATGCAAAATCAAAACCATTCATGACCTGCCACGTAAAGTGGTTCTTTCATGTCCTTTCAAAGGAAATCAGATTATGTTTTCTAAAAATCAACTCCTTTGAAATCTACTAAAAATTACAGAGACAAATGTAAAATGTCAAGTGGTCAAATTGAAACTGAGATATTCACTTATTCTGCCATACTAGTCAAGTGCTTCTCTTCTGTGGCAAACCTGGTTTGGCACTTCAAACAAACAAACAAACAAACAAACAAAAAACAACAAAAACTATCTCCCTTAGTTGTTCCATTCAATTATGCTCATTTTATTTCTTGCTCTTCATTCCAGTTTCTTTAACCTTTTATGTCCTTTCTCTTGCCACATTCTCCTGGACAGAGATGATTTCTTCTGAATAACATAATAAAAAGAGCTATTCATTAATTTAACAAATACATGTGGTGCACATTTTTATCTCCACTTTACAGAAGAAGCTGAGAGCCAATAGATTACGAACAAGTAAATCACCGAAGGTCACACGACTAGGAAGTGATCAAGCTAGGATATGACCAGAGTCGTGCCTGATTCCAAAGCTGAGAGTCCTTCCACCATTTGAACTCACGCCCGAAGCAGGCAAAGTGGCCAGACTTGTGGGCGGGATGGTGCGTGCCCCCACACTCACTTTGGACTTCTGCCACTCTTAAACCCTAAGCATGTTTTACATTTATCTTAGCTTTAATACTCCTTCAGGATCCTGCCACGTTCCTCGAGGAACAACTGTGTTCTTAGATTTTGTCACTGATGGCTAAAGGAAACACAGGGTCTGACTCCGATAATCCCCCTCACCTGGCCCTCTCTGACTCAGGATTCTGAAGGTAAGAAGAGGGGCTTCGGTTGATCTGGGCACCTTCCACAATTCCTTTGTTGATAAAGATTTTGCCTGGTTTCATGTTTTTGTGCGCCATCTCGATGCTCTGTGGGTTCAAGAGAGAGAGCACGAGCAAGTTGTGAATTTAGAAATCCTGGTGGGATACAGACTTAGTCGATAAAAACAGAAGGGCTCTGTGGACAGTTTCCTTTGTCTCCAAGCTGCCCCTGCCAGGGGATGAGAGCTGGAGAACCGCGCAGCCAGGGTCACTCTCAGGGTGCACAGAGGGCCTCGGGGCTGAGACACTGAATTGCCGTGAACTGGGAAACTCACGCCGTTGGGCACCTGAGTGTTCGGGGGCCCCTGCGTCAGGCACCGTCCTCCGGTTCAGGTGGCCAAACTGGGAGTGACTCCCCCAACACTGAACCAGGATTTGTTAACATGTAGGGCATCCCCCCCTCCATACCCACTCCGTCCCCCCACCCTCTGAGGCAAAGTTTTTTGAACTTTTCTAACTCAAAACCACAATAAGCAATACATTCTTCATCACAACTTGATATGCATCGACGTCTGGGTCCTAAAACAAAAGTCCACAAGATGAACTACACCCTTACTATGTGTTTGGCAGCATGATATTCTCCAATCTGTTTTACTTTAGTTCTGTCTTTTCAATGCGTATTGCAACCCGTGAAATTGATTTCATGCAGCCAGTCATAAATGGCCAGGCAGAGTCTGGGAAACGTCGTTGTAAAGACATGTCTGCCTTTGCCGACTAGATCGCCGGGCTTGGGAGTGGCTTCATGAGAAAAAGCAGAGAGAGACTGCATATCAAAGGCAAAGTCATGAAGAGAACATCAGAAAGGATCCCGTGGGAGTAAATAATAAGCTGAGAGATGAGGAGAGAGGAATAAGAGGCACCCAAGCCAGGTATGGGAGGGGGGTTTGGGGTTCTGGAAGGAGCTCTGTGCTGTCCGCAGCTACCATTGAGGACGTGAGCAATGAGGGTGCGTGTAGAAGCAGGATCCTCTGTCATGCTGCTTGGGAAATAGGAGGCAAGATTGCAATTATTTGTAATTACTTTTGGTTCCTTGATGGGTTCCTTTTCGAGTGACTTAGCACAGAGAACAGACCATGTGGGGCCCTCCCAGTTATAAAGTTTATAAGTGTCCCTTTAGACAACTGCATGAGGCTTCCTGCAAAGAACTGTCCTCTCTCCATCAGTCAGTGCCTCGGAGACCAGAAGCTACATGGGAGTCAGGAACGGAGGCGAGGAAGGAGTGAAGATGCTCACACCGAGATCCTAGAAGGACTGTCTCCATATCACAGCAAACCAATCCTAAACACTTATAGGCGAAGAAAAGAACAGCTCCATCTGGGGCTCTGTGCCTACCTTCACGATGCCAGTGACCATGTATTCAAAAGTTCGATTGCTAAACCCTTCACTGGCGATGACAAATACGGTATACTGGAAAAATCCCGCTGGTCCCGAGTGAGTGTGAGTGCCGCTCAGGATGATGTTGTCTCTTCTGTACAGGGAGCCGTATTTACTCTGCAGTCGGTTCAGGACCTTCGGGAGAAAAGAAAAAAAAAAAAGTTAGAACTAAAAAGGATAACAGAGCAACTCGCTATGGAAAAGGCTCGGGTGAGGCTAATCGCCGATCTGTATCGATGACGCCCTTCACTCCATGCTTGAGGGTGTTGTCATAGTAACAACATCAGCACCAACAGTCCCTACCAAGGCTAACGTTTCATGGATCCTCCCTAGGTGCGAGCACAGGGTTAGGTATTACATGCCTTATGTTATTTTAAAATCTTTATAACAACCCCAAGAGGTAGGTATTTTCAATCTTCTAGCTGAGAGCATGCAGAAGATAAAGAATGCGCCCACTGATCTAATAAATAGCAGAGCCACACCCAGATCCGTGGCTCTATAGAACGAGTACGCTTTCCGATTCATTATCCCACACGGAGTATTAGCGCCTGGGCACTGGTCTAAGCACTAGGAATATGTGAGGTTCCTACCCTGATGAAGCTTTTATTCTAGTGGGGGAGAAATAAACAAACAAATGAGTGTGTAATGTTTTATTATATCATGCAGGGGTGAACGCTGTGAAGAAAAAATGTTTCCGGGTAGGGAAAAAGATAGTGGTGGGTGTCAGGGAGGAAAACATCTTCTCCAAGATGTTACCTTTCATCAGAGGCTTAAAATGAAAGCTCAAGCTGGTCATGCAATATATGGGGAAAAGCATCCCAGGGGCAGTGAACAGAATATGTAAAGGTCTCTTTATTTCCTCGCAGCCCAGAATGAAGAACTTGACACTGCCTGACACATAGCATCACACTTACTGGTCTGGGGGAAGCCAGCCGCCGTGACCTAAGGACACCCCAGCAGCCCTGTGGGGATGCCCGTGTGGAAACGAGCACAGTGGATGAGCCACCTCAGGCGTCATAGACCCTTTGCCTTGGGCAAGCCTCCCAACCAGCCAGCACATGATTCCAACCTCATGGCGCAGCAGGGAGGGTGTGTGGTCGCTGTTCTCACCTCAATGAGAATCACCCAGCCCGCCCCCGCCCCTGGGATTCCTGAGCCTCAGAAAGGACAGGCCGAGCTTTGCTTTAAGCCCCTGAGTTTTCCAGATGACTTGCTGCGGAGCAAGAGATCAGGCACACACAGAGACCCGGGGAGTGTTCACTGTCCGTGTCATCAGTCCGTGAACATCTCATCATGCACGATACGTGTGCTGGCGGGGCACAGAGACGTCGAGAAAGTGACAGGGAGAAATGCCCAATGGTGCCGAGCACCTATTTCTGATTCTGCTTTAATCAGCTTCAATCTGAAATTTGGTATTATTGTGGCTCCCTTGGGAAAGATGTTTTGGCTTTTTTTATGCCAAAAATCATTAGAATGATCTCACGGGGTGACTCTTGGTTTTGGCTCAGGTCATGATCTCAGGGTCCTGGGATCGAGCCCCGTGTCTGGCTCCAAGTTCAGCAGGGAGCCTGCTTGAAGATAATCTGCTGGCTCGCTCTCTCTCAAATAAATAAATAAATCTTAAAAAAAAAAAGTGTCAAATGCAAAGCAACCTTCCTTGGTGAAGGATACTATCACCAGGCACAATGATGAAAGCTCATTATGGCAGGGATGGCCATATGCCCAAGACCACTTACGTACCCAGTCCTATTTATTGGTAGTTGCTCTCAGATGCAGGGTGTTGAGAAGGATTCTGAATCCAAATCTGGGCTTAGCAAAAAAAGAGGGCCTTTTCTGATTAGCAACACCGTCTACCTTGAGTATAGCACACGCAGCGGTACGCTGATAAACTGTCATGCACACGGAAACCAAAGCCCGCCGTTTGAATTGTTTGCCAGTTTCTAGGGTGTAAATACTCCTACCACAGTCAATTTCAAGCTACCAAAATCTAACAATGAGCTCACAAAGCTCCTGAACATTGAACAATCAGCCCTCATGAGCTGGTCCAAGCCAGTTCCAACACACCCCTGATACATAAGGGAGTAGCAGGGACTTATGTACCATATGCCCAACACACATAAATACATCCATTTCAACCTCTTCTATTTTAGGTGAAGAGGTATACCACCCTCATCTACTCGTGTGGCCATTGAATGGGGAAGACTCTTACAAACCATCTTGCCTTGTTAACCAATCCATGCCCCAAACACGATTGCTAGGTTACCACGTCTGTGTACGCAATCCTTTGAAGCCAGGCAAATGTGGAAAGGAAATAGGACATGACCAGACTAACACCCTCTGACCAAGTAGCCCACATTCTCCATCCCAAGAAGTTTCCGTGTTGCTTCTGTGTGACCCAACTCCAGCACACATGCTTCATCACTCTTACACGTTCTTCCACACAGTAATGACAACACTCATGAGGAAGATGCCTCTGTTAAGGAGCAGGGAGAATGATCACTGAAGGGATACCCCAAAACTCAACTCAAAGCTCCGTCAAAAGCTAATGTTCCCACAGTTGTGTCACCAAGACAAGAAGGTAGTGGGGAAAAAAAGAACTTCCGGTCAACTTTAGAGGTCCCCTGGCCCTACCCTCATTTTTATTCCCAGAGAACTATGATGTTAGGATTTTAGAATTCAGTGTACTTCTTTGGGTTTACTCAAGAATCAAGTCCTTAAATAGATAGGAATTACAGCTCCCATGTTTTGTTTCCTAAACTACGATATCGTCTCCTAACAGATATTGTATCCTAAACTACGCTCTCCAACGTGAAGTCTGACACATGGGACTTCAAGAAGAAGGAAGGAAAAACTCAGTCGTCTAAGGACAATGCCTGCGACTAGCCATTATAATTAGGGTGTTCCCTACATCATGAGAGGAGAGTGTTGGAACAAAGTGAAGAAGTTACCTGAATGTCTAGTGAACAGAGCTGAATGTCTACAACTCACCCCTCTGTGTTCCAGTTCCTCTTACTGATGCACCTGAGAACCTGCCATGGAAAGAGCTGGAAAGCCGCTCTGTTCTCCTGTCCTGCCTCACTGCTCAGAGATCTTCCCGAATCTTCATTCCATGCTGGAAATTTCATCAATCCTTAAAGCTGAGACTGAGAAGCTGCCTAAAACCAGGTGTTCTAAAGAAGCATAAGAACACCTGTTTAGCTACATTTATTTTTCGCACCTTCTCTTGGATTAACCTGGGATAGGGAAGTGGGTTCATTTAAAGGCCTTCCCACTGGGTCTCAGATCGCACAGGGAAGTAAAAATAGGAAGAGATGGAGAAATAGTGGCCTGTTGACTTCACAGCCTCTGCAGCCCAACACATTAATCCTCTCTCCCCTCCACACTCCACCCCCAAAGTTCACCTTTGACTCTCCCATTTCTTCTCATGACCCCACCATTTCCCCCATCAGAAGCATGGCCAATGCTCTGGGAGAGTAGTAAGCGTAGTGGTAGTGAGCGTAGGTGCTGGCACCCAGATGCCTGTTGTGTACACCCAGCCCAGGCGCTTCCTGGCTGGCTAGCCATGCACAAGTGACTCGATCCCCTGCAACTCACCTTCCCAATCCGTCAAATGACATAATAATAGCACCTTCCTCCTTCAGTTGTTTGGAGGATTAAATCCATTAATATAGATGAGGCAATTAGTGTGTGACTCATCGTGGGAACCATGCAAGCGTTAGCTCCTATTTCTATTCATTGCCAAATCTCATTAGCATTTAACGTGACATCCTACTACCATGTAGTCTCGCTGCCACCCCATTGCTTTAAGACCTGTGTGCCAGGCTCACGTGGCATAGGAGAAAGTTCCAGGCAAAGTTGAAATCCTTCCTACCCCCCTAGTTTCCCTTTCTAGTTCATTCAGCCTTCCAACGCATTGTAAAACTTCCGTGTATTAAATCTCCTCTGTTTGAAATACCGGGTGTGAGTACCATTTTCCCAACCCGACCCTCACCGGTAGAGCCTTGACATTAATTTAACAAAGCTGCCAATTTGGGTCCTCACCTCCAGCCTCAGTCTTGCATCAAACATCACTGATTAATCATCCTAAAGCAAAATTGGGTTTGTATTACTCCTCCACTCAAAGGTTTTCAAAGAATCCCCATCACTTACAGAAGTAAAAGTAAACTGGCATCCCAGGCCCTCTACAGTTATGACCAACACACCTCCCAGGTGTATTCCCAATTACATGCCCACGTGCTATGTGTCCTAATAGCACGAATCCCTGTCCCGTCAAAGGACAGTCTACATTCCTCCCTTGTGTCTCCTTGTGGTCACACCACCTCCTCCGTTTGATAGCTCTCTCTCCCCATGTTAACCATTTAAAATTCTTCCCATTCAGATAAAGAGGATGTGGTGTATAGACATATGTAATATTCTATTATATACATGTATATAATACACCATTATGTGTGTATATATATATATACACCATATATTCCGTTATATTTCTACTATCCCATTATACATATATAATGGAATATTACCCAGCCATAAGAAAATGCAATCTTGCCATGTGCAACAACACGGATGGATCTAGAGAGTATAATGCTCAGTGAAGTCAGTCAGTCAGAGAAAGACGGATACCCTATGATCTCACCCATAGACGGAGTTTACGAAACGAAACAAATGAACACAGAGAAGAAAAAGACAGACTCCTAACTACAGACACCAAACAGAGGGTCACCAGAGGGGCAGGGGCGAAACTAGTGAAGGGGATGAAGAGCACACTCATCATGATGAGCACCGAGTCCTGGAGAGATTTGCTGAATCAGTGTATTTTAGTCCTGATGATAATATAAGTATACCGTTACCTATGCCGGGATTGAAAGAAAATAAACTTCTGCCCATTGGAATGTCACACCCACTATGAAATTATTCCCAACTTTGCAGTCCCCTTGTGGTGGTGGTTTTAAACCACTCGGTGCCCACAGGTTCCTCGCTAGCCCTCCCTTTCAGAGGGCATGCTTTACTTTCCCATCCCTGGGTGTGAACTGGACTTGGTGACTCGCTTCCAATGGACAGAGTGGGCTAGAAGTGCAACTTCTGAGCCGGGTTCGGAGAGGCACCATGGCTTCTCCCTTGCTTTCTCTTGAGTCACTAACTCTGGGGAGAGCAGCTGTTTGGGGCCGCGAAGATATGGAAAGCAGGGAATGGAGGCCTTCCGTCAGCAGCCACGCAAGTGAATCATCTTGGAAGTGGATTAATCAAGTCTTCCAATGACTGCAGCCTCTGCCAACAGCTTGATTTCAAGACACCCTAAGCCGGAACCACCCGGCTAAGCCAGTCCTGATTTCCTGACCAACAGAATGTGAGATGATGTTTACTGTTTTACGCCACTGTATTCTGGGGCTATTTGTTACTCGGTAATAGATAACCAACACACCACCGTACTTTACTCCAGTGAATTGTAGACTGTGTTTTTCTATTACAGCCCTTCCTCCTCTCCCCAGCTGAGTAGTGAGCTCATAGGAAATGTGGATTACGACTCACTTGGTTATGTGCCTCCTGAAATGACCAACAAAGTACCATGGAAAAAATAGGTGGTCAATGCATTTTTCCCTCCACGGTAATAGAATCATGTCACTTTTAAGAACGTGGGCTCTGGGGCGCCTGGGTAGCTCAATTGGTTAAGCGACTGCCTTCGGCTCAGGTCGTGATCCTGGAGTCCTGGGATCGAGTCCCACATCCGCTTCTCCCTCTGACCCTCTTCCCTCTCGTGCTCTCTATCTCTCATTCTCTCTCAAATAAATAAATAAAATCTTTAAAAAAAAAAAAAAAAGAATGTGGGCTCTGGTATCAGGCATACGTGTGTTCAGGACCCAGCTCTACCATTTGCTAACTGTGTGAATTTGGGAAAGTTCCTCACCTTTTCTAAGACTCCATTATTTTATCCATCAAGTGGGAATAACAACAAACCCACCTCATAGTTTTGTTGTAAGTGTAGGAGTGGGGAGAACATGTAATCCCTTGCTCCTTCGGTGTCCAGAGATGGGGGAGGCTTCCACTCCCCTCTTGGGGAGTGACGCTGGAAAAATGTTTCGAGGACCCCTTGTCATCCTTGTCACTGGCCACTTCACACCACAGGAGGAACAGTGTTTAATAGATGCTGATAGAACATGACACTGAAGAGTGGACATTTAATGGTCACTGTCCTGGGTGCTCCAGACTTTCTTCTTCCTCACCTTCATGAATATGTGAGCAGACGTTTAAAGAGTACATTCTCTTTCTGTGACCTGATCCCATGCAGAAAACACAACTCAGTCAAGTCCAAGAAACTGGCTTAGAAAGACAAACCTGGAAGGCCATGCTCATCACGGTATTCCTCCCTCTCTCTCTGTGCATCTTACTGCTGCCTGCCGAGGACACATGGGCTCCCTTCTGCTAAACCCAACCTTCCCCACAGAGGGGGTAACATGGTCTCAATTTGGGGAAAATCACAGAAGAGCCCGCCGTGGCCTACAATAGAGCTTAAAGAGTAAGTAACATTGTATTCTCTTTAAATTTTATTATGGAAATTTTCAAACACATACAAAAAGAATCAGAATAGTATAACGAGACCCCCATCTCCCTCTCACCCAACTTCAGCCATTTATAGCCAACCTCATTTCGATGTTGTGTTTTACTTCTCATCTGGCTCCCTGCACCTCAACTGTCTAAAAACTTGAGGGATTAGTGAGTAGTCGGAGCTCTCAGACTTCTAACAAGGAGGATTAAATAAGAGAATGGATGTGAAGGTTGCCTCAAACATAATAAGCTTGCAAAACACATTAACAGTAACAATGACAATGAGCCATCAGCAGAATTGAGAGCAAGTATGATCAAGATGACCAAGACTGGAATTACTTGCTAGCCAATTATCTGAAGGCTTGTCAAGAGCTTATAATTTGGAGGGCAGTAGAAACTCACTGGATGAGAAGCCAGAAGGGCTTAGTTACTGTCACATTCACTCCCAGACCTTTTCTTTTAAATCATGTCATTTCCTTGTCACCTCAGCCACTTACCTCAAGCCTAAGTCGTTGGGATACCATGCCTATGTCGACGCTGACAAACACCACTCGATTTGACCCATCGGGCTCCGCCATGATGAAAGCACGACTGTACAGCCTTGTGAGAATGCCCTGTGCATTCTGGCCAGTCTTACTGTAGCCCATCTAGGGAGGAAGAGAGAGAGAGAGTCAGAGCCACTCTGCCTCACTCCCCTGCCACCAGAACCGGGTACAACCACACAAGAAGAGACCACGTAAGAAAGGTGAGGGAAAACACAATCCATGGGACACTGTGGCCCTGCGTGGGATAATAATATGTGTTTTCAAGAAGAAAGCCAACATCAGAAAAGAGACTTTACACTTCTGTGTGGAAAAATGCAGAGTAGCTCTCAGTTTGGCAGGAGCCATTCACAGGCCTATGGGCAAGGAAAGCGTTGGCTTGGCTCCGGAACTTTGTTACCATGTCACAGACCTTCCAGGGGTTTCTGTTCTTTCCTCCTGCCCGAGGTGCTACTGAAGGAAGTACTTCCCTTACCATCATCCCACATTCCCAGAACATCCTAAAGACTGAAGGCTCCCTCCTTTTGGTTGTTTGGTGTGTAATGTTCTTTCTTTCTTTTTCTGAAGAAAATGAAAACTAATGATGTACTGTATGGTGACTAACATAACATAACAAAACATAACAAAACAAAACAAAATAGAAGAAAAGAAAAGAAAAGAAAATGGTTTCTTTATGATTCAATAGTCTCTACTGAGGGCACCTCATGCTGACTTTTACCTTGTTGACCGTCCCTCAGCTAAGTCAGGCCAAATGTACCTATCACAATCCCCCTTGTCACCTTGTCATAAAGTCTACCCATGAAGTCTTCAGAATGCCCCTTCTACTGCTTGCTTTACCCCTCATAGGAGTGTTCACTTAGGGTTCGCTTTCCAGAGCTACTTCTCAGAACAGACAGTAGAGAATAACTCCTAGACTCTAAAGATTATTTGGTAGGAAGGAGAAAATCTCATCCAACAACCTCACATTCTAGCTTCCTAGAGAAGGATGGATATGAATGAACACATCCACCATCACAACCAAGAAGTTGCATGCCCACATATAATAGGCCACACCGGACCCACAGAAGCCTTCTCCCTGGCCGACACCATGTTGGCCCATGCTAGGTTTCCAGTTTTAACTAGAGTTGCCTATATTTTCCAACTGAGAGATTTAGATCCTCAGGTCTCTGATCCAGAGATGTTCCAGCTTCTCTTGAAAAAAACTTTAAGATAGGGCAGCCCTACATGGCAATAATTGCTAACGCCGTGCACTTTCCAGTTATACCTCCCACTTCCCACTGCCCCCCAAACTGAGGATTCACTAGACAATTATCAGCTTACACTGGCCTGCTTCTGTCATTTATGGTACCCTGTGGTCTGTGAGGTTGCCAGCCCTGCCACTTCCATTCATAAAAAATGGTCGATTGGCTTTACAAAGGAGTTGCAGTTGAACACATGGTCCCTCTTTATAGTACAATAATCATAGTGTTAGACAGTAGTGAAATCAATTGAAAAAGTGAGAAGAACAAGGAGAAGAAGAAGAAAATGATGATGATGTAATAGTCGGGAATAAGTGTAGGATGCGAGTAATAACAATACTTGCTTCATTCTCCCCCAAGGAGCCCATGATTTACCTACCAAGTTGATATCTGCTACTTGTCCTGTGCAGTCAGCTCGCCCAACACCAATATGGTAGCCACTAAAGTTCTGAAACAGAGGAGGGTCTGGAGTAGTAATCACGGGAGGTGCCTGGGTGGTTCTAGAGCCACTGGTGATTGTCAAGCCTTGACTGGCTGTGGAGCCCAGGATGGTTGGGGAGCTCTGGGTGGTCGGGGAGCTCTGGGTGGCCGGAAAACCGGAATCTAAAAACAGAATAAAATATTTAAGGAACAACATTCCAGTCCACTTATTTGTTGGCATCAATTAGAACACACAGATTCGGGTTCCTAAGGAAAAATCTTTATATATTCTCTTATATTTAAAATATATGGTAAAGGAGCACCTGGGTGGCTCAGTTGGTTAAGTGTCTGCCTTCAGCTCAGGTCATGATCCCAGGGTCCTGGGATGGAGTCCAGTGTCCTGTTCCCAGCTCAGTAGGGAGTCTGCTTCTCCCTTTCCCTCTGCCTTTATGCCCACCCTGCTCATGATCTCTCTCAAATAAATAAAATCTTTGGGGGGGGGAGCAAGATGGCGGAGGAGTAGGAGACCTAGATTTCGTCTGGTCTCAGGAATTCAGCTGAATAGTGATCAAACCATTCTGAACACGTACGAACTCAACAGGAGATCGAAGAAAAGAATAGTAACTACTCTCTGAACAGAGAAGTGACCACTTTCTGGAAGGTAGGACTTGCGGAGAAGTGAATCCGAGGCGATATTCGGGAGGATAGACGGCGGGGGAGGGGGCCTCCGCCGGCCGCTTCTGGCAAGTGCTAGAGCCGCGGAGCACAAAATCGGACCTTTTAGAAGTTGGCTCAGCGGAGGGACGTCGCTCCAGTGGCTAAGCGGGGGGTGGAACCCTCGCAGGACAGTGGGGTCTCAGGACCCTCGGGGTCACAGAAAGACCGGGGGTGCCTGAGTGCGCCAGAGCTCCCAGGGATCGGAGCAGGGAAGCCGGCTGCAGAGACGGAGCCGAGGCGCGGGCTCTCAGCTCGGGGTGGCCATAAACTGTGATCCGCGGCCCAGTCGGGCCACTGCTCCTCCAGCAGGGACCCAACAAGCGGCAGAGCCGGGGAGACTCCCCTTCCTCCCCCAGGAGGAGCGGCGCGGGAGCGCACCGCGGGGATCTGCTGGGTTTGGAGACTCCACACGGGGTCGGGAGCCAGAGATAGAAACGCTCGGTCACAGGCCGGGTGAGCACGGAGTGCGGCCGGAGACCGGGGACGCGGGAGTGACTGCTTTTCTCTGTGGGCGCACTGAGGAGCGGGGCCCTGAGTTCTCAGCTCCTCCGGGTGGAGATTGGGAGGCCACCATTTTCACCCTGGTCCTCCAAGGCTGTACGGAGAGCTTGCAGGGAACAAAAGTTCCCGAGAGCAAACCCGAGCAGCTTGCTTAGTCGGGACCGACAAGGGCGGGGCAAAGACATTTGGAAACCATGGCAACAGGCCCCTCCCCCAGAAGATCAGCACGAACAGCCAGCAAGCCAAGACCAAGTTTACCGATCAGGGAGGATGGGAGAATTCCAGCGCTAGGGGAATACTGCACATAGAATTCTTGGCTTTTTTACCATGATTCATTAGTCTTCCAAAGTTAATTTTTTTAACTGTTTTTTTTTTATTTTTCTTTTTTCCTTTTTCAACCAATATCTTATCAATCCCTTTTTTTAAAAAAACATTTTTATTTTTCATTTATAGAGTCATATTCTATCCCTTTATAGCAGTTACCGTTATTTTTGGCAGATATATATATAAGTTGTTCTCTCTTTAAAATTTTTAGATACAGTTTCTTCTAACAGATCAAAATATACCCTAAATCTCTAGTGTATGGCTTTGTTCTAGTCTCCTGCCTGATCACATTCTCTCCCCCCCCCAACTTTTTTTTCTTTCTTTCTTTCCTTTTTTTTAATCCTCTTCTTTCTTTTTTCAAACATCTTCTTATCAATTCCTTTTTTAAATTTTTTTATAATTTTCATCTTTACAGTCATATTCCATCCCTTCATCATATCAACCCCTATTTTGTACATATATAAGTCTTTCTTTCTTTAAAATTTTAGGAGGCACTTTCTTATAACAGACCAAAATACACCCAAAATCTAGTGTGTGACACTGATCTATGCACCAGCCTGATCATATGAGATCATATTCTGTTTTATTTCTTGTTTTGTTCTGTTTTTATCTTTTTCATTTTTGCTCTCTCTCTCTTTCTTTTTTCTTTCTTTCCCTTTCTTTTCCCCTGGTTTCAGGACTTTTCTGATTTGATTAGAGTATATTTTCTGGGGACGTTGTTAAGCTGTTAGCATTTTGTTCTCTCATTCCTCTATTCTCCTCTGGACAAAATGACAAGATGAAAAAAATCACCTCAACAAAAAGAACTAGAGGTAGTACCTTCTGCCAGGGACCTACTCAATATGGACATTAGTGCGATGTCGAACCAGAGTTCAGAATCATGACTTTAAAGATACTAGCTGGGCTTGAAAAAAGCAGGGAAGTTATTAGAGAAACCCTTTCTGGAGAAATAAAAGAACTAAAATCTAACCAAGTCGAAATCAAAAAGGCTATTAATGAGGTGCAATCCAAAATGGGGGCACTAACTGCTAGGATAAATGAGGCAGAAGAGAGAATTAGCGATATAGAAGACCAAATGATGGAAAATAAAGAAGCTGAGAAAAAGAGAGATAAACAACTACAGGATCACGAGGGCAGATTTCGAGAGATAAGCGATACGATAACATGAAACACAATTAGAATAATTGGGATCCCAGAAGAAGAAGAAAGAGAGAGAGGGGCAGAAGGTATATTGGAGCAAATTATAGCAGAGAACTTCCCTAATGTGGGGAAGGAAACGGGCATCAAAATCCAGGAGGCACAGAGAACCCATCTCAAAATCAATAAAAATAGGTCAACACCCCGACATCTAATGGTAAAACTTACGAGTCTCAGAGGCAAAGAGAAAATCCTGAAAGCAGCTCAGGAGAAGAGATATGTAACCTGAAATGGTAGAAACATTAGATTGGCAACAGACCTATCCACAGAGACCTGACAGGCCAGAAAGGACTGGCAGGATATCTTCAGAGCACTAAACAAGAAAAATATGCAGCCAAGAATACTATATCCAGCTAGGCTGTCACTGAAAATAGAAGGAGAGATCAAAAGCTTCCAGGACAAACCAAAATGAAAGGAATTTGCAAACACGAAACCAGCCCTCCAAGAACTATTGAAAGGGGTCCTCTAAGCAAAGACAGAGCCTAAAAGCAGCATGGATCAGAAAGGAATACAGACAATATAGAGTAACAGTCACCTTACAGGCAATACAATGGCACTAAATTCCTATCTTTCAGTAGTTACCCTGAATGCAAATGGGCTAAATGCCCCAATCAGAAGACACAGGCTAACAGATTGGATAAAAAAACAAGACCCATCGATATGCTGTCTGCAAGAGACTCATTTTAGACCCAAAGACACCCCCCAGATTGAAAGTGAGGGGGTGGAAAACCATTTACCATGCTAATGGCCACCAAAAGAAAGCTGGGGTGGCCATCTTTATACCAGACACATTAGATTTGAAAACAAAGACTGTAATAAGAGATGAGGAAGGACACTCTATCCTACTTAAAGGGTCTATCCACCAAGATCTAACAATTGTAAATATCTATGCCCCTAACATGGGAGCAGCCAATTATATAAGGCAATTAATAACAAAAGCAAAGAAACACATGGATAACAATAGAATAATACTGGGGGACTTTAGACTGAAATGGACAGATCATCTAAGCAAAAGATCAACAAGGAAATAAAGACTTTAAATGACACACTGGACCAAATGGACTTCACAGACATATGCAGAACCTTCCATCCCAAAGCAACGGAATACACATTCTTCGCTAGTGCCCCTGGAACATTCTCCAGAATTGATCACATTCTAGGTCACAAATCAGGTCTCAACCGGTACCAAAGGACTGGGATTATTCCCTGCATATTTTCAGACCACAATGCTTTGAAACTAGAACTCCATCACAAGAGGAAAGTCGGAAAGAACTCAAATACATGGAGGCTAAAGAGCATCCTACTGAAGAATGAACAGGCAACCAGGAAATTAAGGAAGAATTTAAAAAATTCATGGAAACCAATGAAAATGAAAACACGATTGTTCAAAATCTGTGGGATGCAGCAAAGGCAGTCCTGAGAGGAAAATATATAGCAATACAAGCCTTTCTCAAGAAACAAGAAAGGTCTCAAATACACAACCTAACCCTACACCTAAAGAAGCTAGAGAAAAAAACAGCAAATAAAGCCTAAACCCAGCAGGAGAAGAGAAATAATAATCAGAGCAGAATCAATGAAAGAGAAACCAAAAGAACAGTAGAACAGATCCACGAAACTAGGAGCTGGTTCTTTGAAAGAATTAACAAGATGGATAAACCCCTGGCCAGACTGATCAAAAAGAAAAGAGAAATGACCCAAATCAACAAAATCATGAATGAAAGAGGAGAGATCACAACCAACACCAAAGAAATACAAACAATTATAAGAACATATTATGAGCAACTCTATGCCAGCAAATTAGATAACCTGGAAGAAATGGATGCATTCCTAGAGATGTATCAACTAGCAAAATTGAACCAGGAAGAAATAGAAAACCTGAACAGACCTATAACCACTAAGGAAATTGAAGCAGTCATCAAAAATCTCCCAACAAACAAAAGCCCAGGGCCAGATGGCTTCCCAGGGGAATTCTATCAGACATTTCAAGAAGAATTAACGCCTATTCTCCTGAAACTGTTCCAAAAAATAGAAATGGAAGGAAAACTTCCAAATTCATTTTATGAGGCCACCATTACCTTGATCCCCAAACCAGACAAAGACCCCATCAAAAAGGAGAATTACAGACCAATATCCTTGATGAACATGGATGCAAAAATTCTCACCAAAATACTAGCCAATAGGATCCAACAGTACATTAAAAGGATTATTCACCACGACCAAGTGGGATTTATCCCTGGGCTGCAAGGCTGGTTCAACATCCGCAAATCAATCAACGTGATACAATACAGTAACAAAAGAAAGAACAGGAATCATATGATCCTCTCAATAGATGCAGAGAAAGCATTTGGCAAAGTAGGTGTACTTTCTTGATCAAAACTCTTCAGAGTATACGGATAGAGGGTATCTACCTCAATATCATAAAAGCCATCTATGAAAAACCCACAGTGAATATCGTTCTCAATAGGGAAAAACGGAGAGCTTTTCCCCTAAGGTCAGGAACGCGGCAGGGATGTCCACTCTCACCACTGCTATTCAACATAGTATTAGAAGTCCTAGCCACAGCAATCAGACAGCAAAAAGAAATCAAAGGCATCCAAATCGGCAAAGAGGAAGTCAAACTCTCACTCTTTGCAAATGATATGATACTGTATGTGGAAAACCCAAAAGACTCCACCCCAAAACTGCTAGAACTCATACAGGAATTCAGTCAAGTGGCAGGATATAAAATCAATGCACAGAAATCAGTGGCAGTCCTATACACCACCACCAAGACAGAAGAGAGAGAAATTAAGGAGTCGATCCCATTTACAATTGCACCCAAAACCATAAGATACCTAGGAATAAATCTAACCAAAGAGGCAAAGGATCTGTACTCAGAAAACTATAAAATACTCATGAAAGAAATTGAGGAAGACACAAAGAAATGGAAAAACGTTCCATGCTCAAGGATTGCAAGTACAAATATTGTGAAGATGTCAAAGCTACCTAGAGCCATCTACACATTCAATGCAATCCCCATCAAAATACCATCCACCTTTTCCAAAGAAATGGAACAAATAATCCTAAAACTTGTATGGAACCAGAAGAGACCCCGAATAGCCAGAGGAATGTTGAAAAAGAAAAGCAAAGCCGGCGGCATCACAATTCCAGACTTCCAGCTCTATTACAAAGCTGTCATCATCAAGACAGTATGGTACTGGCACAAAAACAGACACATCGATCAATCGAACAGAATCAAGAGTCCAGAAGTGGACCCTCAACTCTACGGTCAACTCATCTTTGACAAAGCAGGAAAGAATGTCCAATGGAAAAAAAGACAGTCTCTTCAACAAATGGTGTTGGGAAAATTGGACAGCCACATGCAGAAGAATGAAACTGGACCATTTCCTCACACCACACACAAAAATAGACTCCAAATGGTCGAAAGACCTAAACGTGAGACCGGAGTCCAACAAAATCCTACAGGAGAACACAGGCAGCAACCTCTTCGACCTCAGCCGCAGCAACTTCTTCCTGGAAACATCGCCAAAGGCAAGGGAAGCCAGGGCAAAAATGAACTATTGGGAGTTCATGAAGATAAAAAGCTTTTGCACAGCAAAAGCAACAGTCCACAAAACCAAAAGACAACCGACAGAATGGGAGAAAATAGTTGCAAATGACATCTCAGATAAAGGGCTAGTATCCAAAATCTATAAAGAACTTATCAAACTCAACACCCAAAGAACAAATAATCCAATCAAGAAATGGGCAGAAGACATGAGCAGACATTTTTCCAAAGAAGACATCCAAATGGCCACAGACACATGAAAAAGCGCTCGACATCGCTCGGCATCAGGGAAAACCAAATCAAAACCTCAATGAGATACCACCTCACACCAGTCAGAAGGGCTAAAATTAACAAGTCAGGAAATGACAGATGCTGGCAGGGATGTGGCGAAAGGGGAACCCTCTTACACTGTTGGTGGGAATGCAAGCTGGTGCAGCCACTCTGGAAAACAGTATGGAGGTTCCTCAAAGAGTTCAAAATAGAGCTACCATACGATCCAGCAATTGCACTACTGGGTATTTACCCCAAAGATACAAATGTAGGGATCCGAAGGGGTACGTGCACCCCAATGTTTATAGCAGCAATGTCCACAATAGCCAAACTGTGGAAAGAGCCAAGATGTCCATCGACAGATGAACGGATAAAGAAGAGGTGGTATATATACACAATGGAATATTATGCAGCCATCAAAAGGAATGAAATCTTGCCATTTGCAACGACATGGATGGAACTGGAGGGTGTTATGCTAAGCGAAATAAGTGAATCAGATAAAGACATGTATCATGTGACCTCACTGATATGAGGAATTCTTAATCTCAGGAAACAAACTCCAGTGTTGCCGGAGTGGTGGGGGGTGGAAGGGATGGGGTGGCTGGGTGATAGACATTGGGGAGGGTATGTGCTATGGTGAGCACTGTGAATTGTGCAAGACTGTTGAACCACAGATCTGTACCTCTGAAACAAATAACGCAATATATGTTAAGAAGAAAAAAAAAGAAGAAGATAGCAGGAGGGGAGAATGAAGGAGGGGAAATCGGAGGGGGCGACGAACCATGAGAGACGATGGACTCTGAAAAACAAACTGAGGGTTCTAGAGGGGAGGAGGGTGGGGGATGGGTTAGCCTGGTGATGGGTATTAAAGAGGGCACGTTCTGCGTGGAGCACTGGGTGTTATGCACAAACAATGAATCATGGAACACTACATCAAAAACTAATGATGTAATGTATGGTGATTAACATAACAATAAAAAATTAAAAATAAATAAATAAAAATCTTTTTTTAAAAATTAAGTAAATAAATAAAAATATATGGTAAGAAACATCTCAGGAAATTGTTGTATATAATAGTCCTAAGGAGGATCTTTCTCTTGACCTGGAGATACTTTCACCTAATAATCAAGGTCTGCATTAAACATCCTTCAACTTCTCATCACAAGGCATTCCTTGTCAAACTCATGGCCCTGCACTCACTCCCCCCGAACGTCTCCTCTAGCCAAACAAGCCAGGTGCCAGGTTCCTGGCACACAGCCTACTAAATCTAGCCTCCAAGGATTTGTCTCCACCCTTCTCTCCATCCAGAGACCTTATTGCTCTCTGGTCCACCAACCAAGCTCCACAACTCCCTTCTGAGCTGGTTCATTTCCATCACACTCAGTGGCAGCTCAACCCTCACATCCAGGGATGCCACCCCCACTGTGCCTACACTGCCCCCTCTTCCCCAACCTTCTCAAGTCTTTTATTCAGGATGCGAACTAGATCACTGTACGCTCTACATAGTTCCACCTCATTTTACTCATATCACCATCTGCGTATGTACGCATATACACGCATGTCCTGTGTGATCATACACACACACACATACACACACACACACACACACACACACACACACAAAGTATGAAGGGAGGCAGAATGGCATAGAGTCTACACAAGCAGGTACCAGAATATTCAAACAGCCTGGGCTTGAAAACTGACTCTACCACCTACTAGCTGAACAAACCACTTACCTGTTCTACCCCGATTATTCCCAGCTATACAATGGAGGTAATAGTACTCTACTCCCTAGGGTTGTTTTGAACAATAAATATGTTCATACACATTAAAAATTTAGAATAATTGTTGGCATATAGCTTTGGTTCTCTTTACATATTGAGATATCCTACATATGCTTGTTGTTTGTTTTTTTCCACCCCAGACAACAGCCAGGGTTGCCAAGGTGACAGATGTCACTTGGTCACAGGTTTTAGTGCTCAGAAGGTACTTAGTCAAGAGATTGGCTGCTGACTCCCGTGGGATCCTAGAATTTTGGGGCCAAAGCTAGAGATCACCTAGTCTGATTTCGTCAGTTTTACATATAAGAAAACTGAAACCCAGAGAAGTGATGTAACCACGATTTTGGCGACAACACGAGATGAATCAGGTGCACAGCCCAGATCCTCTGACTCAGAATCTGATGCTCGTTCATCCATATTCAACATGTCATTAGAATCCATATTTTCTCAACCTTAAGCCTCCATTTTCTATAAGACATCAATTATTGCCAGGAAGGAGGCATGCTCTTTTACCTTATTGATACCCATGTAGGAATGGGGTGCCAACCAAAGCCAAGTCAGGTCCAATGGCCAAGGTTGATTTCTTTAGGACCTCAGAGTCTCAGGTTCTATATCCCGAAAATGGTACTAAGACTAGCACCTGCCTTTACAGAAGTTTTATGAGAATTAAGAGGGAAAAGTATGTAGACTCTTGACCATAGCACTTGACACAAAGCAACCACTCAACAAACAGCAACTCCTACTATGAGAATAGTTACCATAACTGTTGATCACCTCCCTGAGTCTCAGCCTCTGGATTCTCTAACTTTAAGAGCCAAAACTAAGGAAGTCCGATGGATCCTTTCCGTTTTAGTAGTCCATGCCCCTGCTCTGCACACTGCTGGCACAGAGGGTCTCTGTCCCTCTTCAGGGAATTCAAAGCGCAGGGTCATGGTAGGGAATATATTGGAAAGAAGAGGCCACAAGAGAGAAAACTGAGGTGAAGAAACCGGGCTCCTTCTCTGTTTCGTCTAAAGCCAGCCCTCCCTTTACTTCAGTCAAAGCCTTCAATCCCCACCTGTCTGTCTTCTCTGCTTGTTTACCAGTATAAAACCCACCACCAAAGTAGGGCTCCATCAAAGACCCAGGGGGCCAACATTGCCTGTAATGTAGCCTACATCGTTTTCCAAAACTAAATTTATTCCCAACATTAAAAAAAAATATCAGGAGATGCCTAAATCATCCATTCCAGCTCCTCTTGAAAACTCTGGAGATCTGTGTCCATGTGACACCATGACAAATACCAGCTGACACTCAAGAGGGGCTGTGGACCTTGCTCCTCCCCCCCCAGCCCACCTCCCCACTCCACCTCATTTACAGAACTTCAGTGGCCCTCCTAAGAATTTGAGTTCAATGCCCCCTTCTCTAAAGCTTTCCACAGACTAATTGATATTCAGTGGGTCTTTCATTCTCCTTTTGTCCCCAAGAGAAGATTATGCCAGAGAAAAGGCAAAGAGAAAGAGAGGAGACTTGGGGCAAATGCTCACATTACTTGGCCTTGAAGAATTCTGAACTGGGCTTAGGTCAGTGGAAAAGTGAAAGATGAATAAGCACATGTCAGAATGCCTGTCAACCGGCTATTTGTGGGCAAAGGTAAGCTTGATAAAAATTGCTATCGATGCAGAAAGGGCAATTAATCTAAAGGTTAGATGGCCATCCCTGGCAGCTTAAGTACACACTGAACTGTGTGCTGTTATCGGCATTATCAGCAGACACTGTTCTTTGCCTTGGTGTCCCCGGTAATCAAGAAATTTCCCACAGGCTAGGAAGAGCATCCAAGAGAGCCCCTGACAACTTGCCTTTGTGATTTTCAATGGTCCCACTGGTGATAAACAGGAGGCTGAGAAGGGCTACCGTGACAGCGGTCATCAACACGAGGAGGAAGATCAGGAATGTCTCTAACGTGGAGAAGGTGCGTTTGGCCATCTCTCCTGAGGAAAAGCAGAAATGGAAGAGGTGGAAGAAGACAGAATCGCAAATTAAAACATATATGCTTCGAGCTGCCCAAGCCTAAGACGTCTTAGTTCTTCCATACGAATAGACTATACCAGGGACAGCAAGTACAGAGCATACCTGCCACTACCTCCCTATCCCAAGCCATGGCAGACAAGACCAATCAATTACAGCACTCTTTGGTGAGCTCACATGTGGTTTCCAAACACTTCTTGGCACAGTGCTCATTCTGAAAGCCACCACCCATCATTTGGCATTAGCAAGTAAGCCAAAATCTATCTGTATTCCTTGGCTGCATCATAGTGCTTTCGTTTATGGGGATGATGTTATCTGTACAGAGGTCGAGGTTGGAGCACTTCTGTCAATAGGTATGATCGCGCTTGCTTAAGGCTGCCATAGATGGTCATGCCCTAAGGAAAACCACCTTGTCCACAAGGAAGTGAAACACACAGTTTTGGCCTTTAAACTCCATTTGCTAACCTCCAGTTAATACCTAATGAGAAAACAATATGGAAGGGGGTGTGGCATCTGTGGTCTCAAGCCAGGCATTAAGAAAATCTCCCTCTTCCATCGTCAGAAGGATCCCACGTATTTTGCAAACAGTGTCAAAGGATTAGGACAAAGACCATGCCCCTGTGTTCGGCAAAAGCAGAAAATGTCCTTACAGGTCCTTAAGATATTTCAGGAGTAGGAGTCATCGTCACTCAGAGAGACTATAGAAGCTAAAAATCCACATAATGTACCAGGAGAAGGTATAACATGGTAGTAAAAAACTGGATTCTGCCTTCTGACTCCAGAGTCCAGATCTCATTTCTGCCACTTACTGGGCAACCTTGGGAAATCCTTCCCAACGCTGAGCCTCAGTTTCCCTATCTGTAAGTAAGGATGTGATGATGATGATAATTTTAGTACCCATCTTATAGGGTTCTTATAAAAATGTGATGACAGTAATAATTCTTTCATCCCATAGAACACAGGAGGTGTTCAAAATGTTTGCGTTTATCACTAGGTTGCAAAACAGCAGGCTCTGCTCCTCACTGTCCTCAAAGGGAGTTTATATGAAACAAGCATTAAAGAATCATTGGAATCACAGGTAGGAACTTCAGAGCCCATTGTCTTCACCCATACTTCCGGAAGCCAGAACAAGGAGATGGCATTAGAGTCCTAGGACCTGCCTCCAAGATGGGTCATAGGTGGCTCAGATGCTACTGCCCCCAAGAGTTATAAATTGGCTACAAACAAGTGTGCTTAGCCTGGCCCAATTTTTTGTTTCGATTTGATTCAGTCGACAAGATAGAGGAGCTTACAGCTCATCTGTAAAAAGAGAGTCTACATTTACAAATCTAAACCCTCAAGTTTTCTTTCAAAGTATCTCATAAACCATGACAACACTGAGTCAGCATTGCTACGCACCAGGACTCTGGTAGAATTTAGTAGCTGCTGTTCCTTTAGATGGGGCATGCATTCTCCCCCCACCACAGACTCTTCCCGGTGGATCTTTTCCATCGAAGTTACTACCTGGTCTTTGCAGTTATTGTATTTTGCCATCCCTGGACTGGAGTTTGAAAATCAGTCTAATGGCAAACACTTCAGAGGCAGGGCTAAACTGGAAAGGGACAAAGGAACTGGCACATGTTCCCAAATTCCCTGGAGATTAGCACACTTTCCTCCTCCATTTATCACCATCATAATTGCTCTTACCGCTACCATCAGGGACAACTTCAAGTTTAAGGCAAAGCAAACTAGTTCCAATCTTGGTCCCAATACTCACTGTCAGCCCCCAGGAGTCAGGAAACACATCTAAGATATGCTTCTGACATTTTGATGATCCAACTAAGTTTACTAGTCCCGCACCAAGAGAACAACTAAACGTGGCTGACCAACAGGCGGACCTCCCGACCCCAGAGCATCTACATGCACACTGCATGTGTAAATGTGGTCACATGGTAGGAGCCTACGCAATGAATAGACACGGTTCAAAAATCATACTGTTCTTCTTCTTCTCTCTCTCTCTCTCTTTTTTTTTTTTTGCTAGTTTTATTCTGTTGAATTGATTACCACCAACAACCTTTTACACCAGTCAGTAATGGCACTTGACTTCACATTAGCGTGTCCAGCTCTAACTCGGATCTCAATGATGTATGTACTTCATGGGTTTCACTGCTATGTTGCCAGAATTACTGCCAGCATCATTACTCTTCTTTTTTAACCAGCTAGCACTACTTGTTTTTCACAGATGACTACAATCTGAATTCAAATGTTAAAGCAAATGCCTAGTCTGCCTTCAGAATGCACCACGGAGAGCTGAGCTAATGGTTATAACTTAAAAGATTTGACACTTCCCACTGGTTCTCACTTCATCTGGCAAAATTCTGCAAGCTCGGTGATGAGGCTCTATGACACAATGAAAAGCCACTTGCCACATCTCTACCACACTGAGGTCTCTGTTTTTCAAGACTGTGAGAGTAAGAGGTAATAATTTTGCAAAGTGGCTTTCCAAAGCTAAGAAAAGGGAGTGAAGCTTTTAGAATTTCATCAAGATCTCTAAGACAAAGGGATGATTCAAGATCCCTCCGTCCCTCTCCAAGAAAATACAAGTATTCTTACCTGATTCAAACAATCAAAAGAAATCCTGCATCCCAGTAAAGCAAGTCCAGATTCTCGCTCCTTTCGCCTTTCACGTTGCTCAGCCAAGATTTCTCAGCACGTTCTGAAACCTACTGAGGAAAGATGTTCACAGTCGTGCCCAAGAGAGTAGAGTTCTCATTAGCATACCATTGCGAGGTTGGTGCAGGATGAGATTAAAGTGTATTGATAACAAGAGCCTTCTACGCAAACGCTCCCCTGGGACGGACTGATACTGAGGGAGAAGTTGCAGAAGATCTGCTGGGCTGAAGGTCATTGATTTCAGCCTTTACACACCTCTCCAGCACAACAAGTTCTGTGCAAGGTCTACAGCCTGGATCACCAAAAAAGAGCACCTGCCTTATTTGCCACTGGTCACTCAACCAGCAATCAAGAGGGACTGATGATGCATGCTGGATATTAGCGTGGGCAGTGGCTCACATTGAGCTATGTGTACACCAATTTCAGATCAGAAAAGTGATTTTAACTCTTAGGTTCTTGTGCATTAAAAGAATGCAAAGTTTTAGATGAACTAAGAACGTGAATAATGATATACAACAAGGCAAGAATGCTGTGCAAACATTAAATAATTTAATGACCTAAAAATTACTATATTAAGTTTAAAAGACATTATAATCCTGTTTTTTAAAGCGGACATTATTTATATATGTGTGGTCATGAAGACTATAAGAAATCACAGCAACATATTAAGAAGTAATCTGGTGATAAGATTATGGGTGAGTTTTGTTTTCATCTTTTCGATTCTTGGTCCTTTCTGTAAGAGCCATGTGTGTTTTTGTAATGGGGAAGATAAAATGTTTTACCTTCTCCTGAAGAATGTACGCTGTATAACAGCATGAAGTGAAACAACGGCCCACAAGAGATAAAGAGAGGAAGAAATAGGCTCATTCACACCTTTTTTGCCCCTACTAAATCCAAGCTTTCCAGGAAGCATTTTGAACACATACGGCACTTCATTCCTTGCAGAGTTAAGAGAGACCAGCCCCCAAAGTCCAGTGGAAATATTAGAGATATAAGTGCCTCCCAATACTGCATTTAATAATGTGGCTTAGCTACTTTTCTGCTTCAGAGGGGGAAGCAGATTAAATTATGCTATTAAACCAGTTTGGGTTTTTGTGGGGGTTTTTTGCATGCATTTATGTTAGACTTGTTGGTGTCAAGGAACAGAGGACAAATCCAGCCAACTTAAGCAGTGGAGGAAAGAGAGAGAAGTAAATTCATCGGAAGGCAGCAAAAGAAGTTGAAGACGCAGGCTCTGGAAGGCCAGAGATCAGGGCAGATCTAGGGGGCAGGAGGGACTGCCATGGAGATGGATGCCCTCCAACTGCTTTAGGTCTTTCTGTCGTGCCACTCAGGGTTCACTTCCTGAGAGACAGCATCTGGCTGGCCCAGCTCAGAGCATAGACATGAGGAGATCCTTAAACAGACCTCTCAACAAGACCATCCCCACAGAGGGGAGAGTAATTCTCCAGAATGAAATCAAGGCAGATAAAAACCACAGACACCCATTAGTGACTTGGCATCAGATTTCCGTCTCCTGCCTTTATCCTTTACAGTGGTCCCCAAATGCACCCGCTGCCCCCTCCAGACCTCTCCACCACTTCCCTCCCCAAGAAAAGGAGCCCTGCCATGCTCATTCACACCAAGACTTAGGAGGCGACCGCAGTCTATTCTGATAAGATCGTGAGTAGATCATATATCATTTCCCCCAGACAGCATTTGAAGAACCATCCCTAAATACCAAGGGGTGAGAATCAAGGGACTACCAAGCACTGTGGCAGAGCCAGTGGAGAAGTGATGTTGGGCCAAGGGTACCTGCAGTACCCATTGGAACAGCTGGCTCCTGTAGCTAGGAGTGAGACCACCCGGGGGTGAGGGGAAGATAAAATCACTGCAAATAGTTGAACTTCTACGTCGATCTGATTCTGTCTGAATGGCCCTCAGATAAATCTTGTTTGCTAGGAAAAGGATGACTTTCCTACTCTACCCGCTACCCCAAGACATGCGCTCATACCCCACCCATTTTACAGATGAGGAAACACACACAGAAGGGTGACATGGCTTCCAGAACAGGAAAGGATGGTTAAAAGTGAGCATGATTGAGCAATACTTATTGCGGGATGTGAGCCCAAGTTTCCAGATTCCTAGACAAGAGTGCTTGCCTCTCACCAAATTCTTCCTGTGTTGCCTTGACCAGGGCTCTGGCATCACAGCCTCTGGGGATCAGCAAGTCCAAGTGGTCCCTCCTCATTAGCAGATGATGAAGCAAATGATGTCCCTCTGTCTCTGAACACCCTATCCCAGAGGGAGAAACTACCCAGCGGAAAGCAGAGGCAGCCAGAGAGAAACACATGAACTGTACTCAATCCCCCCAAAAAATGCTTCTCTCAAAACCTCGATTCATAAACCATTAACCAATGGTCATTAGCACCACAGGATCTTTTACTTATGCCTACAGGGCAGGGGCCTTCAAAGGCTTGATGCTGACTTCCTATGTTCCATGCTAATTGCCACATCCTTTTTCATTCTTTGCTCCTTGGAATAACTGGAGAATAAATTACTTTGAAAAAACATATTATTTCATAGAGCATCCAGATTGTGGTCTCTTAATCCTGTTTCTTGCTAAAAGGAACAAGAGATCCTTGAAGAAATGGCTGGTTCTGGGTATGAGACAAGAAATATATGCATGAAACCTGCAACATGTTTTCATACCAGGAATCAAGGAAGCCAAGGTGATGATCAAGAAGATTAGAACTGTATAAAAAGAACTAGAGGTTCTGTCTCAAATAGGTCAATTTGGGCATCAATTTTTTAAAAAAATAATTGCAGTAGATTGACACAAAACAAATTTGCTTAAATCCATGATGTTTTAATGATACTTAAGGAAAAAAAAAACAGCTCATTGATTACCTGTAAAAGATGCTACCTTTAAAATAACAAATTCCAATTTGCTTTTCTGAAAACTGATTTAAAAAGGGGGGGGGAGTTCAAGAATGTACTCCACTTTTCCTATATAAAGGTATCTTGGGAAAGCCAAGTCATTAACGAGGGATAGTTTCTCACACTTGAAATATTCCAGCCAAGAATTGAGGAAAGAACAACACACCACGAATCTACATGCTTTGCAACCCCTAGTGAAATGATGGAACTAGGCAATGGTCATTGACTGGATGCTTATATAAGTCACCAAAAGAGAGACAAATGAATATTGCAAGCCTCTGAATGATGTGTTCTTCTCAAGTACTCTTACCAAAATAGTAACACTAAATTGGATCAGGCTCTAGACCTGAGTGCCTGTTTATGGAATATACAAGAAACAACCAACTATGTTAGAGGACAATATGGGGATACAGTAAGCATAGTCCAGACTGTGAAAGACTCTAGGACAAATGACCCTGTTTCTCTAACGAAGAAGGAGGAGGGGAAGGAAATATGAGGAGGAGCAGAATGGAGAAGAGAGAGAGAAGCAAGGGAGGAGAGGGCAAGGGAGGGGAGGAGAATAAAGGAGAAGAAACTGTAGATTAAAAGAGGCTGAGGAGACGTGCCAATCAACGTATGCTGTAAGACCCAAACCCCCATTATTTAGAACTTTTTTTGAAAACTAGGAGATAATTGCAAAGATTTGAACACTGACGAGATGTTTGATGATCTTAAGGGGTTACTGTTAAAAATGTTAGTGTGCTAATGGTATTGTAGTCAGACCCTTTAAGCAGTCCTTATCTTTTAGACACATTCTGAAACAGATTCTCTAAAAAAAGAAATAATACCAAAAGTGCAAAAATTGGATGGATGGATGGACGGACGGGTAGGTGGATGGATGGATGGATGGTGGATGCGTGGTTGAATGAATGGGTGGATGGATGGATGGGTAGGTGGATGGATGGATGGTGGATGGGTGGACGAATGAATGGATGGGTGGGTGGGTGGATGGACGGATGGATGGGTGGATGGATGGACGGATGGATGGGTGGGACAGATAAAGGGATAGGTGGGAGGCTAGATGGATGGGAAATAAGCTTTGCTTTTTAGTATGCAAGCAGAGGGAAGAGTTGTGGTTTAAAGCAATTGGCTTTGTAGAGGGCTTCCCTCAATACCCTTTCTAAACCTAGCTGGCATGCCAATGCCAGACGCTCATTTGCCTAGCGTTCCAGATGCAGTTTCAGTTCTGCCTTTCAGATGCACCAGCGTGAGACTTTGATTCAGAACTGAGCCACATGGGAAGAGACACTCTGTATTGCACATCTGTCTTGTTGGTTTGGATTGTGGCAACATGACTCTGAGACAGCAGTATGGTGGCTTCTATCTAGATGCTGCAGCCACTTCCTTATTCCAGGACCACTACCGAAGCAGCCTATCCCTCAGCAGATCAGGTCTGTATTTAAGTTGGAGAATTTTTTCTGGACGTTCAACCCCAGTTCTCTGTTCTGAGCCTTCACAATGATTGGGCAAGTTATCTCTATCCCCTAATAAATCCTGTTCCTCTTGAGCTAGCTGGAGTTGATTCTGTTACCTCCAACTTAAGAACCTGTCCAAGCTAAATCTCATGAAAGTGAGCATTGGGCCTCCCTTTGGAGAATATATGCATTCTAATCACTGGACACTGTATGCCAAGCTGCCTCTGGCAACATTTTTAAAGTGCAAAGTGATAAGCACTCTGACACAATGAATTCTTCATTAAGTCAGAAAAGAAATTAGTTTTAAGTACACAGGGCTGCCATATTGGTACCTTACCACCTCATACGTTTTGCCAAGTAGTGAAAAATCCCTTTGAACCTCAAAGCAGTCCCATTATCAGATGACTATTTATAGATTCACCTTTACACTTGTCTCTGTTGGATCCTGACCTCAAACCTCAAGCAATAGAAAAGAGGTCCCTTCTGTTCTAAGCTGGAGAGACTGTTTCCTATTAAACCCCTTTTGCACCTGTTGTATGTTGAACCTGAGAATGAGACTAATGGATGTACTTCACTGCAGTGGAGAGCCCAGGTTCGTTCTATGAGGGCGGTCACAGCTCCGACCATAGTGGCAGAGCCCAGGAGGAAGATGACGTGTCACAGAGCAGTGCACTGTG